CCCCCGGCTCCTCCTTGGTGGCAGCAGCGCCCCACAGCCCCTCTGCCCCGGCCTCTGGCATCTCCCTCTCCCTCCCTCCCTGCAAGCGGAGTTCCCATTCAGGCTGCCAGTACCTGGAACTGGGATTCGGCAACTCCTCTGTCTCCGTCTTCCGCTTCTTCGCTTTCTTCCTGGCTCTCCTGCCCGGCTCTTCCGCCTCTCCCGACCAGGAAGCCTCCTCTAAGTGGCCACTTGGCTGGGCATCCTGCCACAGCAGCCGCCCCCCAAGCCCTGGGAGTGTGGCTGGCCCAGTTGCCGCCGCCGGCTCCTCCGCCTCCTCCTTCAGGGGGCGCTGCTTGCTCCCGGCCCTCCCCAGCAGCGGCTCCGCAGGCTCCGGGGAGCCGCCCAGAAGCTGCTCGGGACCCTCCGACCGCCAGAGCGCCTGCTTCCAAGGCAGCAGCGGCCGCTTCTTGCCCCTCTCCCGGGCAGCCTTCCGTGGCGGCGCTCCCGAGGAAGGGAGCCGGGCCCCGAAGGGGAAGAAGCGCTGCTTGAGGCCTGCGGGGACCTTCGGGGCCGGCCTCTCCGGCACGGGGAAGAGCGGCCGGGGGGCGTCGGGCGCGCCGTCTCTCTCCTGGATCCTCAGGGAGCCCCCGAAGGGCTGGGCGCAGATGAGCCGCTCCGGCCGGCCAGCGGCGATCAGCAGGCGGGCAACGCTCTCCTCCCGGGTCGCTCGGAGACCGTAGACTTTCTGGCTGCCGTCCGGCTGCGACGCCCTCAGAAGCGGGGAGCCCCGTAGCGCCAGGCGGTGGCCGGAGAGGCTGCGGGGACAAGAGGCAGCTGGTCAGCCCCGCCGAACCGGCCCCGCCTCCCCCCGCCTCCCCCCCTCCGGCCCCCTGGGCGTCCCTCGCCGGGCAGGGCAGGAGGGGAAGGGCCGGTCGACACCCCCCCTCCCCGCGCACCTCTCCGGGCGGAAGTCGGCCGGGGCGCGGATGAGCAGCAGGCGCTTGCCGGGCGCCCCCAGGCAGAAGGCGGCCCCGGGGGCCAAGCGCCGCGCGCAGAAGTCCTCCGGGCAGCGGAAGCGGGCGGGCCCTGCGGGGAGCCCCGAGGCCGCCGCCCCGCCGGGCGCCCCCATCTGTGCCGGGCCACGTGCAGCGCCCGCCGCGCACCTTCCGGGAGGCTCCATCCCGCTGACGGCAGGGGGCGCGGCCTTCGCGCTGCGCCTGCTCGGCCGTGACGTTGCCGCCCTGGCCCCGCCCCCGCTCGTCCCTTAAAGGGACCGGAGACCGTCGGGGAAGTTCGCGCGGGAGGCTGCAGGTCCCATCGTTCCCGAGCGCGGCTGATGGGCCTGGTAGTCCGGGCCTGGCCTCCGCCCGCAGATTGGCTGCATTCACAGCGCGAACCGAAGCAAACTCCGCTCCAATCAGTCGGGGGGGGGGGGGGGAGCCCCCCGTGCTGTGTGAACCCAGCAGTCCCGGCTTACTGAGCCAAGCGCGGCTTTCCCCGGAAGGGAGCCGGGGTGCTGGATTGGCCACGAAGCAGGCGAAGCACGTGTTTAGGGCACCCCCAGGCCCAAAGGGGGCGCCGCAAAGTGGCCAATATGGCTTCGTTTGTACAGTATGTCGAAAGGTGTGGGGGGGCGCCCAGATTCGTCGGTGCTCGGCTCCAGGGAGCCTTAATCCGCCACTTCTGTGGCCGGCTGAGTGGGTTGCGGGGGGGTTTCCTGATGGTAGCCCCCAGACTCATAAGCGGTCAGGCTGGGCAGTGCCTGATGGGCCCGACGATCCCATCAGAAGCGAAGCCTGCTTGGCCTTGGCTGGCCCTGTGCAGCGCGCCCTCCTGCCGCTGGGTGTCGCTGTTGCAGCGGAGTTTGGTGCCCCGGGAGCCTGGGAGACAATTGGTGGCGGCCCGGGTGGAAGAGCCTTGCAGGCGCTGCGCGGTCTCCGGGCGTGGATCCAGGACTGCCTTGCCGAGCATTGCCACACAGCGAGCTCCTTTCTCCCACCTCCATCGAGCAGCTCGGAGATCGCCTCGCAGCCACGGCCGGGGCCTGCTTTTGCGGGAGGAGGAAGCCCTGCCTGGTGAGGGCAGCCCTGGGCGCTGCTTCCCCTATTGCTGCCCAAGGGGCAAGGGTGGGCAGGCGACCGCAAGCCAGGCCGGGGAGGTTGGAGGCGCCCAGAAGGGCTGCTTTGCTCTACAGCTAATGTGGCACCCACACAAGAAGAGGCGGTGCCAGCCTGAGTGGCCGGTGCCTCCCAGCTGTCGGGATGGAGCCGGGAGAAAGGAGCCTGCTGTGGTGGCAAAGAGGACGGATTTAGGGGGCTCCATCAAGCGGGCTCTGGGGGAACTGAGGCAAAGACCAAGCAATGGGTCTCACCCCCTCCCCAAGCCCTTCTCTGCCCAGCCCCTACCAGAAGGCAGAGCCTGCGGAAGGCAGCCTCAGGTAAGGTGGCGCAGCTCCTTGGCTGCAATGGGTCTGCAAGAGCCACGCTGGCGGTCATGGCCTGGGGTGCAGAGAGGCCCCTGCCTCCCTGGCCTCCGGGGCCCACACCCGCCCAGCCGCCCCCATCTGACGTCAGCCATGAGTTCCTCCACCGCGTTTCCCTCCAACCCTTTTCCTCATGGCCAGGAAGGGCTTATTCCTGTCCTCAAGGCCCTCTGCTTGTGCACGGGAAGCCTCTCGCGGCTCCTTCCCAAGAAGGACTCCCCAGTGGCCAGGCTGAAAATAGCCTCCCTTCCTCCGTCAGCCCTTGGGGACTGCAGGCAGGGTGAGACCCGCTGGGACCCCCTCCTCCCCTGTGAATGCTACAGCTTCACTTCCAACCTTCCAGGAGCTGACCAGGGTTTTTTTGGGGGGGGGGGGGGGGGGGGGGGGGGTTTTGGGGGGGGGCGGGGGGCTGGTCCAGCTTCCTGTTTTCTTCCCTGGCCAAAGTGGATCTTAGGAGGATCCTACTCGAGTTCCCAGCTCGCACTGCTTGCTTGACCCCAGCAGTGTCAAAGGCAGCCGCCTCTCCCAGTCCAGACAATAACTCTTTTTCTGCCAAATGGACAGCAGGTGAGGGGCAGCCGCTTTGAAAGGAAGCCACCAGGTATGGCCCAGGCCTTCCCTGCATGCAAGAGCTCTGGGGCCCTCCTTGGGGTATTCACATGCCCACCACCTGCAGCCTCTGGTGGCTGAAGGGACCCACTGAAAAAAGACTTTGGGTCAGCTGTAGCCACGACTTGCTCGCTGTAGGTGAGATTTACTGGGAAGCTGCCTTCAGACCCCTGAGACCCCCTGAGTTGGCTGCATTTTCCAATCTAAAAGTTATCTTCGTCCTCTTAGGGCGCGGCCTGTCTTTGCAAACCCCGCTCATTTAGCATTTCCAGGCAGGGCGGCATTCTCGGAGCCAGAGGCTGTAAGGAAAATGCCAAAGGGGGCTTTACGGTTGGATGTGGTATAAGAAGAACAGCAGCTTATTTTAAGTGGCTAAAGGCTATGAGCTTCCCCCAACCCCTCCCACTTCCCACTGGAGACCTGAGGGGCTTCCTAGAATCGCATCCTGCTCCTGCAAGGACGGTGGGGGGGGGGGTTAATTTGAGCGAGGGCTCTGTGCCAGAAGGCGATCAGGAAGCCAAACATGCCCATCGGCCCAGCCCCACCTCACCTTCAGGCTCCCAGCTGCCCCCGCCCCTCCCCTGGCAGGGCTAGTCATATTTCAGCACTCAGGCAGACAGGGCTGTTTTGAAGGAAATGCGCTCCAAAGAAGTGGGGGCTTTTTCCTGAGCGTCCCTGATTGTAAACATCCCCCTGACCCCTCACCCGCCTTCTGGCCCTGTCCTGGGGAAGCCTTCAGGAGGACAGGGAAAGGCGGGGGGGGGGCTTCCATTGGTGGGCCGTGCCTGGGTCCTGCTCCCCACCCCCGTTTCTCTTGCCCAGCGGGGTCTCCAATGGAGGCGATTGGGGAGCGGGGCTCTCGGGGGCTCCTGGGCGGGGAGGCAAGAGGCCTGCAGGAGAAGGGGGAGGTGGGCTTGGGGCATCCCAAAGGCCTCGGCAGAAACCAGCCCCTGCCGGGTTCAACCCAGTGACGGGCTGGGCCACAAGAGCCGCGGTGGCTGGATGAAGCAGGGCCCAGTGGGCTCTTTCCCCAACCGCTGTCCTCCCCCCCCCCCAGCCTGTATTGGTTCTGGGATGTTTCCAGTGTAGGATCCTGGGCTCCAGAAGGGCTCCTGACCTCTTGCACAGCCCATCCTCGGCCAAGCGGGAAGCGTCAGGAAGAAAAACTGTTTTTCTTGGTTCTTTTCTTCAAGGGGAGGGGAGGGGGGGGGAGGGGAGGGGGGGGTCATTCTGGGAAGCCTTTTGCGGCTGCTGCTGCTGCTCCGCCTGCAGAGCCCCGTTGTGTTCCCGGGAGGCTGCCGGGCTGGCCCAGAGGCCAGCTATTCTTCAGCCATCAGGAAAGTTTACATCTTGCAGGATAAATGAGTGGCGTTTCCCGCTCTGTTTACAGCCGGGGGATCAGCCGGACACGTCAGGTCAGGAGCAGGATTGATGGGGACGCGGCGTGACTACACTTTGTCTCCCAGCACGGATCCGGATGGGGGGGGGGAGGCTGCCCGCCAGAGGCCAAGAGGCTGGGACAGAGCATGCCGTTCCAAGGGGGCCTGTCCGCCCGCCCGTCCATCTGGACGGCAACCAGGACTCCCTGGAGAGGAACATGCACACCGCACACCAACAAGCCCACCACACTCCCCAGAATTTGTTGTGTTCCTAAAACAACGCCTGGCTGATAGGTAGCTATTTTAGCTCTTTATTTTTAAAATTTATAGGCCACTCATCTAAGCATCTTACAATATATTAGACTTAACGGATTTAAAAATTCAAATAAAAATCCAAATACATAACAAAATAAGCACGTTAATACATACGAGAAAATAACTGAACCAGGCGGTGAAGGAGTTAAGGGTCTTCATGCAGCATTTTACATTTCAAATTACGATATATTAAAAGGCTTCAGAAAACAGACCAGCCTTTGCCCAAGGCCCAAAAGAAAATTGGAACGTTTCTTTGTCGAGTACTGGCAGAAATAGAATTGGTGGCACCGCAGCTATGCAGGAGAGGAAGGGCTGGCTGTTCCCTTGGGGTCTCTTCCGAGGGCAGCCCAGGTCCGAACGTTAAAAGGGGGAAACACACCAGTGGCTATGAATTGGGGTACCCCGTGCCCAGCATGGTGGTGGCCCGGGATCCACTGAGCCGGTCCGAGGATGGTGGTGGGGGGTCTCCTGCCTGCAAGCTGCTGGGGAAGGAAGCGGGTGAGGCTTATGTGCGGCGGGGGGCGGGGGGGGGGGGGTGCTGCTGGTTTCCCTCTCACCTGCCCCCCTTCGCAGATAGGATGGAGAGAAATGTGGAGGGGGGGCAGATGTTGCAGAAACCCAACCAGGACGAGAGGCGACTGGAGGGCTGCTGCTCACTCGGGGGGGGGGGGCGGGATCCCGGGATCCGTATGCAGATGTTCCTCTACGGTTTAGGATCTCTCACTATAGGCAGGGGGGGTCGGACTAGAAGACCTCCCAAGTCCCTTCCAACTCTATGTCGGGTCTCCAGACTTGGCAACTTTAAGGCTTGTGGACTTCCATTCCCCAGCCAGTGTTGAAATCCACAAGCCTGAAAGCTGCCAAGTCGGAAGACGGCTGTGCTCTGCGCTCAGAGCCTCAGAGAGCATTAGGAGGCGGCCATGCGCTCCTTTCCTCTGGGCATCCCAACTCCCTCCCGCCAGCCGTTGCTCCAGCCCCAGACTGGACCCGGGTTGTCTTTGCTGGGTCTCTCTCTGCATTTTCCTCCTTCCCTCGCCCTCCCAGGCTCATACGGGGAAGATCCGCCTTGGAGCAAGGCTCCGTGGACCCAGAAAGAGCCCCGGGCTCGAACTGGGCCGAGAGGAGCACCTGCCGTTCAGAGCCACCCATTGGCTATAAGGGTGGGGGTCCCTTCGGGGGGTCTAGGAGTGGTTGGATTTGTCCGCCGGCCCCCTTTCTATCCCTCCCCCCCAGCAATCGCCCCCAAATCCAGCCCACGGGGAGCGGTGCTCTTTCGCCACGGCCACTCCAGGCGCTCAAAGGGGGCTGTCGGCCACTTGCAGGAGGCTGCAGCCCAAGAGCTGAGCCCTCACATCCAGCAGGCAGCCGCGCTGCTCCTCCGTAAGGCAGGGCTT